TGTTACGAGTAAAAAATCAAAACGATACGATCACGTGATTTGGATGGCCAATCCATAGACATATAAAAGATAGACTGCTTATGAGGTAGTGGGGGACGTCCTGCTGAGGGAAAAGGACAACACCAATTTATTTGGGTATCTATCTTCTTCTAGTGTACGTGATCACGTGGGCGTGAACACGTGATCGCCTTCAGATCACGTCCACTAGAGGAAGACAGATACCCAAATAAATTCATGTTGTCCTTTTCCCTCAGGAAGATGCCCCCACCTAGGGTTCCACTCATGGTGGAAGGGATAACAGGTTCCACTGCCTCATAAGCAGTCTATCTTTTATATGCCTATGGGCCAATCGAAACTACACCCTACACCCCTCAGTGGTGTATCTCCGATTTGTTTAGCCCAAAGGTTTAGCCGCTTTATTGCTCAACGCGTCTCTTTATTTAGCGATTGACAATCAAGATAATTGAGCGGCTGAGAACGCTCGTGCGAACGGCGTCGTTAAACAAACGCAACGGGGCGAGAGACTCGGTGTTGCGCGCGTTCGCCCCATCGCGAGAGGTTACCCGACCATCAAGCAGAATTGTCGTCGAACGAATCGCTATGTTGTCCAGAGTGACAGTTAATATTATCAGGAGATCGGTGTGCAACAATGCGCGCGTGCTCTGTCATCTGCGGGAGCCTTTACAGTCTGATCTCTCGTTGCGCAACGGAGTTGCGGAGCCGCCGCGCAGCGTACAGAATCGCTGTAGCCTGTACGTAGCAAAGCGATTCAAGTCCAGCAGGAAGAAAGCCACTCACATTGTAATTCAATATAATTGGCTCCTTAATTCCATTGAATCGCTGTTCTTTAGTTGATACAATTTATTTATTTGTTGTTTTTTCTTTGTTCCTTCGCTTCTACGCTTGTCCCTCCACGACGAGCTTTCCAACGCGGATGAATCCGGATAGCACGCATAGTTGTATGAATATTCTTCTGGCGTGCAAATATTCTTCATTTCAGAATATCCCAGTCGAATATTCTGTAAATGTATACAGATTATTACCATTAGAAATTGTATATTCATAACAAAGAAGAAGACTTTTTGAACATTCGTCGAGAGTGCCTTTGGAATATTCGTTCGGAATAATTTGTTTATATTCATCGAGCTTGTGTAGTGCGCATTGTTTAATACACTTATGCAAAAGGCTCCACTTGGCCATATATAGGGTGTTGAAAAAAAAGGGTTACATATTTTGATAAGAGGTAGTATTGGTCAAAACAAGAAGAAAAGGTCTAATTAACATGGGTCCTAAGACTAATATCTTCAGAGATACAAGCTATTTTGTTATTTGAGCTCTTTGTCATTTTCTTATTAGTCGTGTCATCTTTAGAATGTAATGAACGTCTTAAGCGTGGTCTACAATGGCAGTAGGAGTAGTGGATTAAAGAAGTAGGCGTTAGACATAGGCTGTAGGATTAAGGTCCCTTTACGCCCGAGTGTCTATAATGGTGTAGAGTAAGGATTATAATGAGCTAATCAGTGTTAACCAATGTTATTACACAAATGTTACCGTTGTTGGTGAATATGAATGTGCGAAGAATTGGATTTGTGTTATTTATATTATTATGGAGTCAGCTCTTGACTCTTCAATGGTGTATTATGCAAACGAAAAGATCTATCGGTCGGAGGTGGTGGGTTCGGCCTGTGAACAGGCGCAAACGAGATCAGGGTTTCAACTTTAACCTATTTCGTGAACTGATTATCAGTGGCTGAGAGTAAGGGAGTAGGTCGTACGAAATGGAATTGAACCATTTTGCTTACTGCCTTACTCTACGCCTACTACACTGGAAACACGAGCTTACTCCGACGTCTTAAGGCTGGTCTACAATACATGGAGTAAGCTGGAGTAAGGAGTAGGAGTAAGGAAATAAATCCATTTTATTTCTCACTCCTACTTCAGCTCTTAGCTTACTCTCGGTGAATCAAAATGCCATCAATCAGTGTTACAATTATTTTAACAATCATGCCGTATTTCAGCTTCCTTACACCAAAAGCTAGAAGTTAGGGCTCTCCCTTACTCCTTACTCCACGCTTACTCCACGTATTGTAGACCAGCCTTTACAGCCTTAATCCACTACTCCTACTGCCATTGTAGACCACGCTTTAGAGAATCACGCACTCTTTCAAGTCACGCACCATAACTTCATTTCTCTCTCCTGATATTTACGTTTGGTTCGCAATAGACACCACAAGTCAGGAAGATAAATGATTACATTTCATAAAATAAAAATTGTTTCTTTATCTCTCTTTGTTTATTTCTTGTTTTTAAAGCACCTAGAAAAAGATATCCCCATTGTACCCCATTCTTCCCTACTCCTTTGTTCATTACATTCTAAAGATGACACGACTAATAAGAAAATGACAAAGAGCTCAAATAACAAAATAGCTTGTATCTCTGAAGATATTAGTCTTAGGACCTATGTTAATTAGACCTTTTTTTCTTGTTTTGACCAATACTACCTCTTTTCAAAATATGTAATCCTTTTTTTCAACACCCTGTATAACTGACACGCTATATTCGATAGACTATTCTGTTCACACTCGAGGGAGATTTATAGCAGCGCCAGTCGAATGTTCCACGAACATGAGATAAATATGCAAGAATGACCTACGGGATATTCCAAATATTCCCGAAGGATATTCTTGCAATGTCCATAGGAGTGTCTTGCGCTATCTGGGAATGTATTATCTTTGGAACGCATTGCAGAGAAAACACAGCGACGAGGATTCCGACGATGAGCTGGAGAGAGATGATGAGGAAGTAGCCCCCGGTTCGAAAGTGATGAAGGTGAAGGTGTCCTCCCTGCGAATAGACCTGATTATCAAAGCTGGATTCGGAATGACTCGCACGTATGCCTTTCACTTTGAATGATTCACCTACGCGCATGTGACGTTGCGTTGTAATTCAATTTCTGTTTGCAGTAAAGTCGAGGAGGCCTTTTACGCGAGCAAGCTTCGCTTAAATGGCAACAAGGTGTTGAAGAAATCTAAAGAGGTAAATGCAATAATTTTATATAACAAGGCTCGGACAATCTTATAAATGTCTGAATAAAATTGTCGTGATTTATTGCATCTTGTATAACTACATGTGTAATAACTGTGGCGACAGGTGGCAGTAGAAGATGAAATCGATCTAATTTTACACCAAAGCACGGATAATCCTGGGCTACTTGTTGTAAATAGAATTGTGATATTATCAATGGACCCTGCAAACGAGGGTGTACAAATTAAATTATCCAGGGATAAAAACTTGTTAATTGAAGATTACGAGGATCCCTATTTAAGATAGTCTGTATAGCTCAACTTGTTGGCGTCTCGGTGATAAAATTGTATGTACATAATGAAGATACGACATCTCTACCATTGTGATACCTAGCAATTTAATAAATTACAACAATAAACTTCAAGTAAGACCCCTAACTAAAACTAAGCGACATATGAGAAAACGCCAAGTCGATAAACGTCGTTTGTGCCAAGTCGATAAACGTCGTTTGTGCCAAATCGATAAACGATTTGAATATGTGAATTTACTGACGATACCAACTCCACCCGTAAGAAAACTGCGTTTTGTCCGAGAAGAAACCGGCGCGCAGAACAAATGTGGAAAGAAACTGTACATGAATTCACATTTTGAAATATAAAAATCACAAGTTGGGCTACCTACATCTCGCCTTGTCACCCACATTGGCGTTTTCTCATATGTTGTTTAGTTAATAAATTACTCTTGACTCTTATTAAGTTATTTATTACGTTATATATTTTTAAAATAAACTTACATATGGACCTAAAAAGGATGGGTTTATAAGAATTTAGTAATAAGAAACACATCTACGAAGCGCTCGCTAATACACTTGTTAATTTATTCAGTAATCTCTTTTACTTTATCAGGAAATGGCTCCAGAATTGCTCCTACTTCTTGCAAGATGTCTTGTTTAGATTCGAAGTATTCTTTGTACCACATAATATGTCGGGTTTTCTCCTCAACTGTCATGTATGGATTCTTGGAAAGTCCAACGCACACCAATTCCATAAAATGACGTATTGGTCCGGATTTAGGGCACCAACCCTTCAAATGACGTTCCATAAAGACATGTTCTGAGAAATGAACGCTGTGCTCTTCCTCCATTCCTGAGTCATATAAAAATGATCAAACTCGGTTCCTTTTCCAAACGAGACGTAATATAATAGCACACTGTATAGAAACCTTGCTCATTGTCAACAGGGAATTTCCATAATTTGCCCTGCTCCGTCCAAAGAATCAGCTCTTGAAAAATATTGGCAGGTGAATGAGTGGCCATTGCTTTCAACTCTTTCCTGTCCAACAGCGCCCACGTTTTCAGTTCCGGTATGTTTGGCGAAGGAGCACTCATGTTTTCGAAAATCTGACTAGGTTTCCCATTCCATAGATCGATATCTTCGTGTCTGAAATACAGTTGAAAATCGGAAGTTTACTGCATCATGGAAATATGAATATCTAAATTACAGTATTATATCTGCTTATACAAAATTTAATTTCTATTATATGATAATAATTAACATTATATTTCTTGCAGTACCTGACATCTGGACGCATTTCTCCATCTTGTGATTGTCTTCTAGACGTTTTAACGGTCTTTAATAACTGCCTTGATATACTATCTTCAAATACTTTCGGTTGTACTTGCTTCGGCGGTACATTCACTTCCTCCGGTCGCTTGTTGTATTCATCCAACAGGGTTCGTATTATAGATTTCTTTTCCAAATGTTTGTCTTGGTAGCTTTTCTGCACATTTTGTTCCGACACTTGTTTGGACCAGGCTGTCTTCTGATGTAGACTTTTACTGTTAAATAAATAAGATTATATAGTAACATTTTATCAAGTAACACATAAATGCGTTACTATAATGTGCAATTTATTATAAACGGTGATAACAATCTACATACACGCTTGCCTGTTCCCTTTTCAATGCTTCCACTCTAGACGCAACAACTTTTTCAAGCAAGTCTGACATGGTCTTTCTTTCATCCCCACCAAGCGTCTTGGCCACATCTTCCGCTGCGTTTATTATTTTCTTCTCTACAAAAAAAATAACACAATTTAACACACCGAGGAAGGCTTGAACTTGCATAATTTTGAAAGTGGCATTGTACAAAGTTACCGAAAGGTACATATTTGCCCGATTGGTCCTTTGGCTTTTTAGGCTGCATGGCAACCTGAATGGTTTTCTGCGATTTTCTCGCCTGAAAGCAACAGCAGATACTTCCATTAAAGTTATATTAGCTTTATATCTTCTCTGAAAAGTATCTCGTTGCATCGCTTTTAGATACATCTCAGCATTTTACTTTAAGATACAATAGAATTCAACTGAATCATTATTTAAATACTCAGCTTTAATCGGCTGCTCGTAAATGTGGTACTTTCAAGAAAATTTTTTTAGATCCTAACGGAATATTACTTTAATTCTGGATCTAATGCAACGTGAAATAGACGGACAGGTCATAATTTACCTTGATCATGTTATTCAAGAAGCTATCCAAATCATATTTGCTATCGGGCGCTGCACTTGCGGGACTCGTGCTTTTAACATGCGTCGTCTCCGGTTTTGCTTTCTCCGTGTCAGAATCGGAATCGGACGAGTCCGATGAGTCTGACGACGACGAAGAGGATGAAGACGAAGAGCACGATCTCGCGGAAACGCTGATCCATTGAAATAATATTCTACTCGCAGGCTTTACATTACATCTGCAAAATATGAAACCAATAGAGTATTTCATGAGATCATACGAGTGATAAATAACCGAACAAGTAATATTATTCGATCGTAACCGGCGGAAATTTTTATTGCGAGAAATGTTACTTCAACTAGGGCTTGAACCTGGACTACACTCTAGAGTCTGGAGACACCCGCCTAGAGTTGCAGGGAGGTCCAGGTTCAAACCCAGGCTAAGGTAATCCTTTTCGTGATGCAAATTTCCGCCGTATATGGTTGAATAATATTATGGCTAAGGTGATTTTTTTTTTGCAATAAACTTAGAATACAATATTTAGACACTAACACCCTGTCACGGCTCTTGGTCCTTTGTTCCTTCGAATTTGTGTCTATCACATTTGAGCCGTGCGAATTTTATTAATTCGTGAATAACATTACTTGCTCGTTTACAAGATAATAATACAAATCTTATTTAGTCGGACAAGATTTTGCGTCACAATGAAAATTCTGCCATGGCGCGCACATGGACAGACATTTCTATCTATTAATTTCAATAATCAATCCATTGTTTCGACATAACTGGCTATATTTGTCACAAAACGTTTCGACTGCAAATCGCAGTCCTCTTCAGGTTAATTTACGAGACAAGCATTTACGATACACATTATTGTGGTAGCAATAAGTATTAAGGCCATTCTACAATTGCGTAAACGTAGTT